TGTCGCTTCGGACCATTCGTCCTACGACATGATGGGAACCGGAGGAAACGTAAAGCATGCGACTCACCGATCGCTGACTTGCATCACTGCGATCGATTCACCTTGCAATTGGAACATGGTTGCTGCTTGGCTCGGAATTTCAGCTTGGCTTTGGATTTCAGCTTGGCTTTGGATTGCAGCTTGGCTTTGGATTGCAGCTTGGCTCAAGGTTGATTGGTTCGATTGGTAGACTGAAGGTTAGACAGGTAGAACCATAGGTCCACAAGAGAGGCCTCCTTTAAGCACACAAAAATCACAACGATTAATCAATTTGAATTTCGAATAGTATTTGTTATCTTTCAACGTATCTATTGTACTTGTACAAGCATGCATTTTCAAATTTGTAACGTATAAACAGATTGCAATAATCACAAACAACTACACCACAAAATTCGGAATGTTTGAAAAAGTTTGAAAAAATGTGTAGGTAACTGGTTTACAAAGCATGCAACGCTTGTGAAAGTATACTAAAACACATAGGTAACCACACTATTAAATGCACTAAATCAGTATAAGCAATATGTCAAAACACATAGGTAACAACACCAGTAAATGCATTAAAATATTTGTAGCAGTATGTCAAAACACATAGGTAACCACACCATTAAATCCACTAAATCAGTATAAGCAATATGTCAAAACACATAGGTAACAACACCATTAAATCCACTAAAACATTTGTAATAGTATGCCAAAACACATAAATAATCACATCATAGAACACCATAAGTAATCCATAATAGCATGCACTATCACATGTAGTAACACATTAGCAATCACTTTGACACCCGTAGAATTACACCATAAATCAAGTTAAAATTTAAAAAAAAAAATTAAAATTCACTAAAACACGTAAATAACCGCACCATAAAACACCATAAATAATCCATAATAGCATACACTATCACATGTAGTAACACACTGGTAATCACTTTGACACATGAGGAACCACACCATAAATCGTATTAATACACCCCCGTATTTATTAAAAAACACTTGATAAAACACACTAAACACTAGTAGTAGCACATTAGGTAACGCAGGGACAAGCACAATATCGGTTAAGTAGAATCCTTGACTCGTACCGGTAAGTGTTGACAGCTCGTCCGACCTCCTCGACTTCCGAAACACAACTGAGCACGTTTGACCTCCTCAAGTGTAAGTGTGATTGGTAGTTGCAGTAGCCAATTAGACACCATGTAATCCTCCAATAGCGTGCGACCATTCCAACTGGATGTTGTATAATTATTCTAATGTTAATTTTGTTATAATTTTATATTTTTTAGAGCAATAATTTTGTTATATTTTTTTCTTCTCCAATTTTTCAGTAAAATTGAAAATTTATTACAAATATATTCGAAATTATTAGAGATTGATATGAAAGTAGATTTGCTCGATTTCAATTTTTCGCTCGTTCACTTACCAATTTAAAAGATCAGCGTTTTCGAGAGAACAAAAGCACCGACTGAGAGTGTCTCCTCTGGTATACTCTGTATAATTAATCATTTGTTCACAAATGCAAACAGAACTCTTCTTGACCAACACCTTTGAAATAGAACTCTTCTTGACCAATGGCTTTGGTAACAGAACTCTTCTTGACCAACGACTCTGATGGTCACCACGTTCTTGTGTGTCGCCGTCTAGCGGTAGAAAACGTGAACTAATTAAACTACAGTTTCAAAAGTGTGTAGTTCACCCTGTTCGCCGGAGAGATGGCGCTACTAGTTCAATTTTATAAAAAATTCAATTAATATCAATTTTATTGATTAATATGCTATATATTTATTATATATTTATTCATATTGATTTTATACTGTTTGCAATATATTCCATGGGTCCAAAGATGGAGATTTTGTGTTCAGAATATTTCGTACCCTATACTGTATCTCGTCGATGATACAGAGAATGACATAAGAATGACAAATTTTCTTTCGTGTCACAAAAAACCATTGTTATAGAAATTTTCTTCTGCATAAAACATCTTACTTGCAAAATTTGGTCGATATCGAAACATGAAGGTGTTCCGGTTTGTCTAATTTTATTATATATCCTTTCTTGTATAAATTTGCATAATTAAAAAAGTGCAAGCATTTTCCAGATGACCCTTTAATCATCAAAATTACACGACTAATAATAAAATATAATTGTACAATAAATAAAACATCTTAAAAAAATACAAGTGAATTCACCAAATATATTATCCATCGTTCTCTTCGTTCCATTAAATATGCTGCACCACCTTAAATAACATCAGCTTGCATTTTATATTTTGTCAAAGATAAACGAACAGTACCTAACCTAAAATAATTTTATCAATTAGGAATATTATAAAACTTGTCTCCAACAAAATTTTTAATATACCAAACATTTGTGATGCTGTTATCACCTATGACAAGTGATGCAACGGTCAATAAATAAAGGAAGGAAAATACAGTTTGAGAAATCAGCTGTTGCTTGCCAGAGAGAACAGTTCCTGGCAGGATGCCAAAACGAACGTTGTTTCGAACAAAGTGCACGAGCTTTCACCAGAACAGCCCCGGGCCACGATCCTGGTTTTCTCTTCTTTCAACTATCATTTGCTTTTGCTCTCTTTTTCCAGTACATTCCCTCGCGCGCTCCCGTTTCGCTACTCTTCTCGCTCGTACACTTTTTTGCCCGCCATTAAAGGTAAATTTCGCGCGTTTCCGTCACTCGAGTTCGCCATTGTTCGAGAACGTTTGTTCTTCGCAAAAGAACAATTCGACGCGCCGCATCGATCGTTCAAGAATTCTACTCCTATTTTTATATCGAGTTTTAATTGTAATTTGATCCCTTTTAGATGATTTCTCGATGACCTTAGATGAGGGCAGTTTTATCAAGTGTTTTGTTACGGAACTTTTTCTTTTTTAATTTAAGTGGCAGAACTAATTTATATTGGGAGATAACATCAGTATTACTAAGGATAGTATCGCCATTGTTAATATTTACGGTTACAATTACTATAATAGTGTTATTACAGGTATTATTAATCGCGGTAAGTTTCAAATGACAGAGCCGGTAATAACCCAGAACTTACTAAACATATACATTTATTCTAACTAAAAAATATTTGAGTATAAGAATAAAAAAATATAATAATTTTCAGAGAAAGATCACAAATGAAAAATTAATATTTGAAAAGATAGTGCAAAATTTGGAAAGTGAAAGCAGAGTATAAAATTATAGTAATGTTGGAGTATAAGATTAAGGTTTAATGATCAATTTATTAAACTTTAATTAGCAGCACATGATACGTATTTCTTAAGTACGCAGTTTAGTATAATACGCAATTTTTTTTAGAAGCATTCGTAGTTTCTCTTGATTAATGAATGCGTTGTAACTGTCAGAAATCATTCCCAACCACAAAGATGTATAAAACTTTCAATTACATTAAACGTTAATTCTTAAAACCAATTTGCATCACGAATGAATATATTCGTACACCTTTCCTGATTATTATCACGGAAGCAATTTATGACTGCAACCAGTCGAGTTAAAATGGAAAATTTATACGGATCTTCAATAATCTCGGATTTTTAATTAATACTTTGACTGACGGTTACTTTATGAAATGATTCATATTCTTTCATTATTATTTCTTTTATTTTGTCTTTAATTCGTGTTTTTAGTAGGGAAGTTAACGCGTGAATTGTACATAATATAATACAAGAAAAAAGATTTAAGAACTGCATTTGATACTTTGATAAATTTTCTATGTTTCAGTTTGACTGTGTTACGGAAGAATTTTATGACTGTATCGAAAATTTCGATTGATTGTAAAGTTGATTACTGTAAGTGGATAACATTTTGTTTATAACAATCTGTCGGTAAAAGTTCAAATTTGATCAACACCATCTAGTGGAAGGTGTTGTAAGACTGCTCCTGGTAGCAGGATCGCAAAAAAGCGAGGAGGTATCCGGAGTAACTTTCCCGCGCATTTCTGCGCATGCGTTGTTCAGTTAGACTGGTGCCACCTCTTCGAAATGGCGTCGTAAGGTATGATATTGACAGCAAATAATTATAACTCCTCTATTGACTACAATTTATACACGTTTCCAATTAAAGAACGGCCTCTACTTCATTATCTATTTTCCCATACAATATTTATTCAGATTTTATTTACAAGTAAGTAATTATTAATAATTATCCAGTAATACCATCACGAGAATGTATTAATGAATTTTACACGAAAAGGTAGTAATTGAATTTAATTATATTTCTCAATTATTAAAATGTATAAATTGTACTCAGAAAACGAGTGATTAATAAATATAATTCATCATAAATCAATCTATTCGTAGGCGTCATTGTGATAGACAAGTCTAGTCCTACTGCGCATGCGCAGGAACTGCGCGGGAACCTCCGAATACCTCCTCGCTTTTCTGCGATCCTGCTACCAGGAGCAGTCTCAAAACGCAAAACGTTAGATGGCGTGGATCGAATTTTAATTTTTACCGACCTGAACATGTGACAATTTCAGCATAATGTAATATTAATAGTGAAACAGACAGTGTTGAATACTTATGAGTTATAATTTGAGAATTTAAGTATTCAAAGATTACTTAGAAATGAAAAGAATTGGGAATTTGCAATTAATAGTTGCAGAAATATGAACATCTCAAAATTTGAAAATTTCGCAATATAGTTAAATACGAATCTGAGAATCTCAACATAGTTCATGAAACTTCCCGACAAAATGTTTTCGAATTGCTACAATTCGACTGCAAAATTACGCGGTCCTAAAGGGTTAAATTTCATCGAATCCAAGTTTCTGGTAAAATTGGTGATCGAAGATACCTGGAAGAGGACAACAAAGCCGCCGGCGTGTCGAAGAGGGGGATTACGGGAAAGAGAGAGGAGGTTCCTCAGTAAGTCGGCGACCAGAGAAAGAGAAGGAAGGCCAGCTTAAGGATGGTGGTGATCGGGTCTGGATCCGCGACTGGCAGTTCACGGCTTGTAGTCTGGCCACAGTCAGTCAGTCATTCAGTCAGTCGGTTGTAGTCCGGTGGTGTACGAGATCGCTCCGTTGTCCGGAGCCGCGACATGTTCCTTTCTCGTCCCGTTTCGCACGATTTTCAACCGTATTGTTATTTAATCTGTTGTCGATACGGCTTTCTTACGCCTCCCCGTGATCGATCCTCCATTTTTTTCTTTAAATTTCGTGCACTTGGTTCCGCGTAAAAGTGAGCTCGATCGATGAAAGTGCAAGTGCTTGTAAGGTCAGTGTGTGCGTAAAGGACCTTCTCCTTTCTTCCGACACGGGGACCAGCGATAAAGTGAGAGGAGGGCGCGACCTTGAGGAGGATCTTGAGGACCTCCGCGAAGAGGTGACAGCCTCCAGAGACGTCGCGACGGAAACGCACGGATGGTTAACGTGAGTACATCTCGATTAATCATTACTAGGTTTAGTATTCATGGTTATTGATATGGACTTAGCGTCAGTCAATGTTTGAACTTTGATCGCTTCTACAAATTCAATATCGTTGATTAACTGAGATACACGTTCTTAACATTCTTATCTTATTACTTATGCAAGGTATCAAGTAGAAGTTAATCTATAATTGAGTATAATTGGGTATACACAAGAATTATCATATAACAATACCACAGATTTGATACAATAGTCAACTAACTAGGAGGATCATCATGTAACATTACCATAGATTTAATACAATAGTCGACTAACTAGGAGATGACACCTTTTCATATACTTTTAATATCATGACTTACTAAATAGAAATTGTACACTGCTATTATTAAAAAAATTAATTCAATTAATTCACAAGGTTCAATGACCGGTCCCACAAGTTTAATATCATCAAAAGACAACTAACTAAAACAAGAGATTATTAAATTTGTAATTTCATAACTGATGCAGGGTATCAAGTAGTAGCTACCATTTAGTCTAATTGATTAAGAGGGTCGTCAATTACGGCTCCCACAAATTTAATATCATCAATGATTAATGGAGCGAATGTTTCTTAAATTTGCAATCTGGTAATTTATGCATCGTTTGCACGCGTACAACGTGCATCGTTTTTACGCATTCAAATCATTCAACAGTCTTTTATTACGAGTTGAAACACGAAACTGATTGATCGATCACAGTTCCGTTGGTCTCTAATGTGTTTCTGCTTGGATGCGACGCTAATTGATTAAATTGAGTAATTATTTACACGTTTCTTGCGGCGATTCCGATGCAACAAAGGCTATTAGGAGAGAACGGAGAAAGTACATAGTTAACTTATGAAATCGTTCGCGCCGTTTCCTATACGCGAAAGAAACGGCAAGAAACGAGACACCCGAGAAACTTACTGTGTTTCGCTGTGCTCTTAAACGTCCGGAGAATATCATAACTCGTACAGTCAACAACAAATATCCCTTAGGTACAAGGCTGAAAAGAACACCCACTCGTTGATTTTTGTGGACTTTTGGAAATTTATAGAAATTTGAGAGTTTGGAGATGAGTTAAGTTCGAGTAGGAAGTTTAGGTCTGGGTAGGAAGTTTAGATTTGAGAGGGAGTTTAGGTATTTGAGGACATTACGGTTTGGTCTAAGAATATGGTAATGTAGGGATGTGGTGAGAATATGTGGTCCAGAAATTTGAAGATATAGGAATTTGGAGATCTAGGAATATGGAGACCTAGGAATTTAAAAATGAAGAAGTTATAGGTACTTGAAGAGATTGAAGCTTGAGGACTTTAGGATTTGGAGACATAGGAATCTGGAAAACTAAAGAATTGGTATTCCAGAGCTATAGATGCGAGGATATAGAAGCTTCTGAACTGATAGAATTTGGGAATATAGAGATATGAGAGTTTAGAGACTTGATGTAGAAATATGTGGACATAGGAATTTGTAAACATAGAACATTGAAGACAATGATACCTGAATCCTAACATTTGAGAATATAGAAATATTGAGATCTACCTGTGGACTATTTTGACTTGAGGACCCAGAAATTCACTGACTCAGTCACTCATAAATCCTCAGAATGTCAAAGCTTAAAAATGTAAAAATTTATACAACTTATACTCAACTTCTTCTGCTTCATATGTTCAAAGATGAATAAAGAATTAATCTGTCCATCTCGATATTATCGACAGTTCAACAACGCGGAAAGAAATTCGACGTATTTTTGTGTTCTCCACACTCTGATACACAGGCAGACAAAAGAATACTTACCAGTGCACGTAGCCAAGATTTCCCTTGGAACTAGTAGGTCATTATGGAATTTCTAGCGAGGTGCGCCGCGCTATGTGACCAGAATGATTTCTTTACGTGAAAGTCACCATGGAATGGTACACCGAATCTATCTAGTGAAATGGAAACTATTTGATCCAACCGGAATGTGAACACGCGGAAGACTCGTAGAGGAAGATTAAGTGAAAAATAACAGGGTGAAGCTTCTCAAAGCATGCCGTTAAAAAGTGTAGGAAACTAGGAATCAATGAGAGCAGGTTAACTTTGAAGTTTCAATAATGTAGCGCCTTTAATTCCGCCATTATAGGATGCAGGGGAAGCGCGGGTAATGGCGCTCGATTATAGTTTAAGTCTGGGGAAACTATAGTGTTATGCGTAAAATTATACTTTACACTTGAACTATTAAAATGTTGTATGAGGTTGAAGCTCCGGTATAAAGAGATTTGAGTGATTTATGATACTCAAGTAATTTCTTTGTGAAGTTTCATTTGAAAATTCTTGCGAACTTGTTGTTACAAATTCTAAAACAATTCTCGGTTTAATAAATCCTCAGCTCCTCAAGTTTTGAACTCCTCAAATTGATTTGCTAAATTCTTAACTTCTCAAATTCTGAACTCCCCAATTTTCAGTTCATCAGATACTCAACTCCCCAAATTCTGAATCTTCCAAATCCTCAACTCCTCAAATTCTGAATCCCCCAAATACTCAAATCCCCAAATTGTCAAAGTCCCAAATCCCCAAATCCTCCAATTCCCAAGCTCACAACTTCCCAAATTCCCAAATCCCCAAAATCACCAAAATCACCAAAATCTCCAAATTCCCAAAATTCCCAAAATCCCCAAATTCCCAAAATTCCCAAAATCTCCAAAATCTCCAAATTCCCCAAATTCCTAAAATTCTCAAAATTTCCAAATTCCCCAAATTCCTAAAATTCCCAAAATCCCCAAATTCCCAAAATTCCCAAAATTCCCAAAATCCCAAAATTCCCAAAATCCCGAAAATTCCCAAATCTCCATCTCCCAAATATTCCAACCCCAAAATCTCCCCATATTTCCCACCCAAAATAAAATCAAATACCAAAAGAAATACGTAGTGACCTGGATATCCCCCCTGTCTCGTATAAAATGTCCAGTAAAATACAGACGTCTATCAAGAAAATGCTCTCGCATAGCAGGAGACTGACCTAACATAAGGTGGAAATACGTATGCGGGATGTGTCTAAAGGCTCGTGTACGATTACACCGGCTGCATAGACAACGTGTTACAAAAGCATCGAATGTGGGCGATCAAACGAGAAAGTGAAAAATGCTCCAGGGCCGTCTATATTGTCTTCTGAGCGTCGTGCTACACCGCCCACTATCAACATTATATCGTAATCGCATACGGGCACTGTGTTCAACTTATGAAACCATTCCACGATGAATGGACAGCTGGATTTTGAAGAATGCGAGATCACTTTCGATTGATCGCTTATTTTCGTATAACGAAAATTTTAATAAAACTTGAAGAGAAATTATAGATAAAAAACTTAGTATTTAAACATTGTTTCTGAATAAATCAGCTTTGAGAAATTTTGATAAAATCTCTTTGAAGATACTTTTTCATTCTTGTTTTTAAAATTATACTTTTTACTGAATGTTTAGGAAATATTAATGTATATTTATGAAGTGGTTTTTTCTATGAATAAAACGGAATTAAAAACGAAGTTAAAGAACAAAACTTTACATCAGATTATACAGTATTTATAGTACCGGTTTCGTGCAAGTGTGCTCCAAAATGGCGGAAGGTTGATCGTATCTTAAGAAGATGTAAATTCCGTTCTTTTATACAAAATTAATTAAATGTTTAAGGAACGTGTCTACAAAACAGGTGTTTTCTATATTTTTCTGAACAGATATAACTACAGTTACTACAAATCAAAGGCTCAGATCGGATTAGGTATTTATTCGACCGAATTCGTATAAACTTAGCTACCAACGAGACAGCGAAGGTTGATGATATCTTAAGAAAACACAAGATCCAAAAATTTCACGGTAGACCTATCGCCTCGAGGGATTCGTATAAAAATAGAAAATGGATTATGAAGAGAAATTTATAAAGTAGGCGGTAATTAGGAGCCGATAAGGAAGAGTGTTTTAAGACTCTTATCGTAATCACGCATCGAAGCGAATTACTGAGATGTTCGAACACAGAGCGGAAAACGCGTTAAAAGACCAAGCAGGAGGAAACGAGTGAAACCTAAGGGGTGGAAAATTCCTTTCAAATTTATTCGCTATTATAGCGAATTGTACTTGCGATTACGAATTCAACTGCATTCGTTTATGGCGTTATCGAGCATTGCCAGGAAAAATTTTGCAATTTTTTCTCCCGTTTTCCTTCACGGTACCGAACCCTGGAATACATTGATTTCTCATTGAATTTCGTCGGACGTGCGAGCGACGATGCATGCAGCCTTAATAGGATGGATCGTGCCATGAGTATGTATCGGAATCAACAGGATCTGTTAACCGGAAACGGAGATGGCCGTGCGCATCGAACGACGGGGATGAATTCGATCACGTGAGCGAAAGCTCGTGTCCGGATAATTTAAACGCATTTGTTGCCTTTCGATGCATCGTGTTACGAGGCCCTCACACTTTCTTACTTCCGTTGCATTATCCTGTCGCTCAGTGCAGTCACAATTCTTTGGAACTCTGGTTTTATTAATCCTTGACCAAGGAGCAGTCAGGTTAGGTTAGACACATGTCGGAATATACAATAGGTTCTTGAGTTATTTGGAAAATTTACTTGTTGGATGCGTATATGGTTAGATACATTGTAAGACAGACTGTTAACAAATAAACTTTGTTAAGAATATTAAGAATAAACTTTTTTAAGAATGTCAAGAAGAAATTTTAAATATGTTTCACCTTTTCAATCTGTATATATCTGTACCTAAGTGTCCAGAAACATCAAATATTCATTTCATTTCCTTTTCCAGTAAATTTAATTTAACCAGTAGTTATTTTAGCTGAGTTTGCAGTGTCACACATGCATTCACCACATATGAACACATATGTTCATCGCATATGAATAAGTATATAATCAAACATATCAACATAAAAAATATTTAAGAATTTGGTCATTCCATTTTTTTAAGTATTTACAACATACAATATCCAAATATTAAAC